GCCGGCCAGTGCGGCAACCAGATCGGGGCCAAGGTGAGGCCGCGCGCCGCGCCCCGGAGCGGGGACGCCGGGGTCCCCGCCGTGCGACTCTCCTCTGCCCCCGCCCAGTGGCCTCGGGCCGTCGCGGCGCGGCTCTCCGCGCACCTCCATCCGCGTCCGCGTCCGCGCCCGCGCCCTGCTCCGCGGGCAGCGGCACGGGCTGCTGGGGACGCTGTCCGGGCGTCGCCCTCTTCTTTGGGGCCGCAACTCAGCCTTGAGCGAGATGGGTGGAATGGGCAGGTTTGGGTAGGGCTCTCCCCCAAAGCCATAGTGATTCCCTCTGCCCAGACCCCCGCTGGAGGAACAGGATGTCCTGCAAGCGACCAGAGACGCCTTCCTGTCCCCAACCTCGTTCTGACAACCCTCAGCGTCCTAGCCCCACCCTATTCCTTTGTTGGAGGGGTTGGGCCTGGACTCGGGGTGACCTTGGTCTGGGACCAGACTCTCTCAGTGCAGCCCGGTCTGGGCAAACCCCCATCCCCCGCGGGGCTGGGCCGCGCCCATCCAGGGCCACCAGGCTGGAGACTGGATGTGGAACAAAGCGCGCTCTGGGTGTGGAGGGCTGTGCCATGCTCCGCCCCTCCATTGTGGGCCCACCTCACAGACGTGGGGGCCGAGGCAGGAAGGGGTTCTGGGGAAGCCACCGCGCAGGGAGCCTCAGGAGGTGACCTAATCCCCACCCGAACTCATAAGGCAGGTGTCCTGTCGCCAAGTCCCAGGAGGCTGTCCCTTGCTCAAGGTCATACAGCAAATGTAAGACAGAGCTGGGTGCCCACTCTCAGTCCCCTGCAGGCAACCAACCTGGGGCTCAGGCAGGGTGGGTGGAGCCTACTGCCAGAATGGTCTTCTTTCAGAACAATAATGGGGGTGGGGGGTGGCTTTGTCAGGACCAAGGCCAGAGATCCAGCTCTAGGGATGATGCAAAGCTGGTTCCCTGAAAGAGGCGTTGGAGGAGACAGGTCCTGGAGGGGAAGGGGCCAGAGAAAGTCTTCCTCTGGAGGCTGTTGCCATGGAAACCAGGCAGGAACAAAAAGCTAATTACTATGGGGTTGGGGCAGCCACGTGGCTGACATGTAAATTGCAAGTTTGGCTCTAGAGTGGAGGCACCTCTGATGGTGGGAAGGGGGACAGTAGGGGGGAGACTCCCTAATCACCCGAGGACACAGCTGTGCCTGTCCAAGGAGGGGGTTGGGGGAGGGAAGGCCTGAGGGACAGTGGCCTCAAATCAAATCGGGATTCCTGGGGCAGTGGCTGACAGCTGCCCTAGCCTGAGGGGAGGGGCTGAGGGCTCATTAATGTGGCCACAGGGGCCAGGCCTACCCTGAACATCTGCTACCGGGAGGGTCAGGGGTCACGGGGAAGGGAGAGAGGGTGGGCAGCCCTGAGGCCGGCCGGTGACGCTCCTCCTCCTGTGGCTGGGAGGGCCCAGCGCTGCAATCCCACAGGGCCTAGAAGAGGGGTCCACACCCCGGGCTCCTCCTGAGGCTCCGTGGGCGGTGTGGCAGGGGCAGCTCCTGAGTGCTGTACTGCGTCCCTGGCTGAGATTCGTTCTGCTTCTCAGAACTGTGGCCCTTAGGTTTTCCCATTACTTTTTATTCCTTGCGAGTTGTTTTTATTAATTTATGTTTGTTTTTAAAAATTAATATATGATTCCTTTTAACCGTGTAAACGACAGAGAGGCAGATTTGGGGGTGGGGGAGGAGTTTCTCCCTCTTCGCTGCTCCCCGCTGCGGTTACCGGTGTGAAGCAGGTCACCTGTGTCTGTCCAGCCCCGTGGCCTGGAAGGTCTCCAGAGACCGGACTCGAAGCCCCCGGACCGGGCCCTGTGTGGGGCTGGTCTGCTCAGCACCTGCCCGCACGGACAGGAAGCTTCTCGGCCGTCCTCGTTTCCACTTCCATCGCGGGTTGTGCGGGCGCCGGTGTGGGCTGCGGGGGCAGGAGGGTTTCCCCGCCCGTCCCAGCAGCAGCGCTGGAGGCCCCTGGGCGGTGCCCGTCTCGGCACAAAGGGCGCAGCTGCTCCGGGGAGTGGCCTGGCCGGGGCGGGAGCGAGCAGCGTGGTAGCGATAATGACTCAGGACAGAACCGCTGTGCCATCGCCTCGCGAGGACCCGGTGAGACGGGGTGTCACCTCCCCCAGGCCGGGAAAACCCGGAGCTCCGGGCAGTTCGTCACCTGCCTGAGAGCACACGGGGAGGGCAGGGGGGCTGGAGTCTCGGTCCCTGTGGATGCGTCGGGACGGGCGGCACTCACGACCCCCAACGGCAGGAACACATGGTCCCCAGGAGAGGGGGATCCTCCGCCCCTAGAGGGGCAGGGCCGTCCGGGAGCCGCCCGGAAGGAGCCTTTGTCTGCGCCCCGCGGCGGCCGAGGAGCCCCCGGGCCGCGCCCG